AACCCGGCTTTCGCTCCGGCTAGTTCCTCCAAGTCGAAGATCTTTCACTTCCTTGATCACCTCACGGAAGCCTTCTTCGATATTGTTCATCCGCGCCAGTACAAGCTTGCTGAGCATATCCTGACTACTTGGGCTGTCGGGACGTCGGATATTACCTGTCGCGTAGGCTATTTGTGTAGTGAGGCTTGAAGGAACACCGCCTAGGAAACCGTTCGCTATCGCCTTGTTGTCCCCCAGGTCCGAACCTAAGCCATCGAGGATGGATGCTTGACGGCGCCGCTGGAAGTGGGAATCGGGTACCGAAAAGCCACCCACATCCGGAACAGACATCGGATCAGATCGGGTCATGGTCACGTTTCTAAGCCTGCTACCATTCGCAATATGTCTTTTCAGCGTCCACTGATCTGCAGAGGTAGACAGGACAGGCCCGCCTGCTGGATCAGGAGTCTCCGCTCTTGGCCGGACAGGGCTTGGTGAAGCTTTGGCGGCTTCGTGATCGTTATCTGAGGGGATCGGGTTGTACAGCATAGTGGCGCCCGAGTAATTTCGGGTGTGATTCTTGATCCGCCGCGCGGGACTAGTCTTGCGAGATTTGAGTCGGGCAGTTGATGGCCGAGAGCTGAAGTGCTTGGGCGGCGTATGAATCGGACTTTGTCTGGTGGTCTTGGGCGTATCGTCCTCGGAATCCAGTGCACCCGATCTCTGTTCTCCAGCCCATCCGCCATTGTCATCGCTTGTGAGTTCATCATCACCTTCCATACCCGTAACTCGCGATAACTGTCTGCTTCGCATTGGAGTCAAGAAGGTTCTCCCATTACGTGGTGTCGCAGGTGAGGATGCTACATGGGGAGGTTCAGCGTCGGATGTAGCGGAGTGATTCGTTTCGGTAAAGTCGCGCAAGCTCCTGGTAAAAGTCCGGCGAAAGCCCGTCCGACCACGGGGATATCTCTCGAGCCGCTCGACCTCCTCTGAGTCTTGCTCATCAGGGGGGTTAACAGAGCCTGATCCCATAGTCTGCATCCACTTGTTGACGACGCTGTGGCTTCCTCTGCGATCAAGGGCGGCGGTAGGACGTCTAGCTGTTGCGTCCCGGAATGGCCGTCGAAACACCTCGTCCAGAGCACGGTCTTTCTGGTATGTGGCAACTGATGGTTCTCGGACGAAGGGTCGAATCTGCGAGCTGAAAGCCCTAAATCGACGCCGGGCTCGAAAGCGGTCTGATGAATCACCTCGAGAAGTCGATTCAATCAAGTCGGTTGAATCGATTACCTGAGAACTCAGTATCGCTTTCTCGTAGAAACAGATTGTAAATAGGATGGGTAAGTGAGTAATCTTGATGATCGTGCGATTAATCCGAACGAATTCGCGGAATGGCACGAAGTAACGGAGTGGGGTGATCAGCCAAGCAAGAATATTGGTCGGGGCGACATAAGAGAAAAGTGCGTCCGATTTGACCATAGAGATTGTGTTGACGGCGAAGAGAAACTGGTGCTCCTGATTGGCATTCTGCACAATACTCATGAAGGAATTCGTCAAAACGGTGATGAGGATGGTGACGACGACAAAGTGACAAATGAACAGGAACACTGTCAAGATGAGTTTACCCAGCATATTATATTCGTCCCAAAGACTCCATGCTGTTGGAGTAAAACCCATGAGCATTTGAAACAGGGCATACGCGACAGCCCCAGGAGAATGATCATCGCTATTGCCAAACGCCTGCGTGAATGCCACGAAAAACCCGCTGCAGGCAATAATAATCAAAAGGAAGACCGCGATAAGGTCAGAAGCCATTATTCTAAATGCGATAAGCAGCTGAGAAAAGTAGCGGTAGTGGTCAAGAACCGAGAAAAGTCGCGGGAAAAGAAGGACTGCATTCGCGGCCAAGATGTCATACGCTTGATCTGCCACAATATGATTGCGAGTGTAGGGCAGGATGACACCATAAAGTCGCATGCAATAGTAGCAGAAAAGGAGGAAAAGAATACCGAGATCAAAGAGATTCCAGAAGCTCATGAGATACAAGCTAAAACCTTGCTCGTTGAACCCGACAATTTCGTCGAGCATAAAGCCAGCGCTCCAAAGCCAGAAGATAACCTCCAGCGGAGTAATTTCGAGGCGACGTTGGTTCAACACAGCCAGAAACAATCCCAGTAGAACAGCGAATGACAAAGTTGACAGGAACTGTCTGTATCGAGGCACACGTAATCGTGAAAGTTTGAACAATGAGGCATCCTTTGGGTTGTAGATCGTGACCGAACGTCGAAGTCCAGATACGTTGGGCTGTGGCTGACGATGCGACGTGCCAAGGGGAGAAGGATCAGGAGCGGTACCATACTGCAGCCTCCCATTGTTCCTGACTTGTGCGGGCGAGCGATGGAGGTAATCAGATGCAGAATGGAAGACAATCGTGCCAGCCCATATCGCTTCGAGTTGTTGTACCACCAGGGGATGCGACAAGAACCGTTTCGCCTGAGCGCGGATGGCCACTTCGAGACAAGAAACACGAGCGATAGCAGGACGTTTGCTTCCTGGCGTAGAATACCAGCCAGGTGCTCGATCGGAGCTTACAGTTGCCGTTGACGTCTGACCGTTGAGAGGGTAGAATTCATAGGAAAGCGCGTCGATCAATTCCCGCGTCGAATATTCTCTCAGCAACTTGATAGCGAGAAGCTCGCTGACCATGGCCCTAGTTTGGCTCACGCCGCTGTTGCCGGGATTCAGATGGACCTCCTTCGAGAACTGGAGACAGTTCGTTATCAGCGCATAAAGTGTAGCCCGGGAGAAATGCAACGTTCGAATCTTCTGCTGAATAGGCTTGACCAAGAATTGAGAGATTTGTGGCGAGCGCAATTGGTCCCAGGTTAGGGTGGTTTCGCATCGAGCAACAATGAGAGGACGGATGGCATGGGTGATGTTATAAACCGGCAGAGTGTCTAAAAAGTCAGCATGCGAACATAAATTGGGATTTTAAATGATAGGGCGAGAATCTGTACCTAGATGCGACGCAGAAAATAACGGAAGGAGAGGCGTGGACTCAATGGGTTCGTCATCCTCTTCGTCGGCGTCATCTTCAGATCTTGCGCCAGGCCCCTCATGGGTGCCGCTGTATCCGTTGATCTCCTCATAGCCTGGCTCAAGGCCTCGTTGAGGTGCATTATTCTGTAGAAAAGGCCATTGGGAATCGCGAGCTGTGTACGGCGATAAGAATGGCGACCGCTCTGCATAGACTCGTCTTTTCTTGGGGCGCAAAAGGGAGGCAAGCATTTTGGAAATGATCGTCCCCTGAAGTCTCAGCAACAATGGGCGGGTTTAAAGGATACCGTCACTGCATGTTGGGGACGCGCCAAAAACCAAGGCAGAAAAAGGCAGAAAAAACAACAATGCGTCACTCAGAAACTGAGTGAGCAAAGAGAAGGCCTTAAGAGTTAGGAGGGTTTTGTTGGAGCAGTTAATCCAAGGTGGGCAAGAAACCTGGCAGGTTCGCGTGATTCAAGAGGTATTTTCAACGGGGGGAGATAAGCAGGGAGAGCTGCCGAAGCGTTGAAACGATTTGCTCCCAAAATTAACGCAGCCCACATGCGCCTGCAGTGAGTGCAGCAGCGGAGGCGGCGATCGCAGGGAATCAGACGAGCTCGAAAGCTAGCGTCCGATAAGTATTTCCGCACCTGAATTGTCATTGGCGTGTGCTTTAGATCATTGGAACGGCACAATCTGGCCAGACCGCTAACCGACCCGTTAGTCTAGCTCATGGTGAAAAAAACATCGTACTTTTTTTCCGATGTACGTACTAAAAAAAACTCACACTGATCATAAGATGGAGGTCTCTGGGAACCCCGCCACCTTTCTTTATCGGAACAAGTATGTGACGGTGGGGGTGGCAAACAACCTTACCATTTACAGTGATAAAGAATGTCTATCAATGTATTGCGCAAGGGATGATACCACTTGACTGAGTTGAATTTTTCAGATCATCTGGTTTATATTACTATGTTTGAGGAACGTAACCACTATTGAATATCTACTTCTACGGATTACACATACATCAAATAACCTCCAAGCTTCTCCATAAGTATATCAATATATGTAGATATTATACCTCGCTTAGACTGTACTGATAGATTATAAATTCTCTCTTTTACTATATTTATCACAAAAAGAAACGGAAGATCATTCCTTTATCCCTTCTTTACTAGTAATTCTTATGCTCTTTGACACCCACTGAAGCAGGACCGAGAACTCATGATCTCGAAATTCAATTATGCATATGACTTACAACAAATGCACCTGATACTGAAAACAATCCCCAGGTATTCAATGAAATCAAATCAAGCGCAAAAGCAACATTACGCAAACAGGGAATTCTCATTTTGACCAGCAACCAGAGACACACTTTGAGCGCTACGCAGCATACATATGTGACACTCTAAGAAGCTTGCATTAATGAATTACCGGTGCAAATGACCGGATAGATTGATAAGCAGTCGACTCCGACAAGACCGATTACTAGTTCTTTCGCAATACATTGATCTGCCCAGGATCTGTGGGATGATTGTGCTACAAAGTATAATCACCATTGTATTCCAGACAACGTCATGCTTCAGATCTATGTAAAACTATGTCCCTAACCACGGAACCTTCGAAAGAAAGCTACTAGTATTGTTTCAAGCCTACCAATGATATACTAGCAAAGTCAATTATCCTGATAAAGTTACGCCAATGAATTATTCAAACATACCTAATTAAATAGCTTCTGAGGCAATAATCTCAAAACTCAAAGTGGCCGATCACAGCCACAAGTAGTATGAATTACGCTTTGATATAGGCGTCATTAAGCTAACTTTTGAGTAGACGACATATAGTCTACGGCTTAACATGACGTCGTGTACGACAAAGTCGTAGATATAGTGATCGAATATTGACAATAATATTCTACTATTCGCGACAGACACACCGTCCTCTCTTAAACAGTCGTGTCATCGATCATCAACTCAGGGCACAATGTATCCAACCTTTACCTTGTATATATTCTTCTCTCTTCTAGCCGCCAATTTACTTGTCCACGCCGCCACAAATCCCCTACAACAACCCCAATCACATTCAACCTTCTCTAATTGTAATCCACTCTTCACTTTCATCAAAGGCGCTGACAGTTACGTACTTGACAAATCAAACCTCGAATAGGGTGCATATGACTAGTACTTAATACCTCCACCCCCTAGAGCAACACTTAGGCTCCGATGGATCCGATTATTCCTATCTTTTATTCGGCAAATCCGTCCATTCCGTATCTGCGAAATACCCGTGAGTTCGGGAAAAGTTGGACAGATATATCCCAGGGACAAGCTTTATCTACTCGACTTTCGCGGCCTGGACTACACTAGGAAAAGTGGGATTCTTGTTGCTGGGTTTGGTTGCTACAATTGGATGTTTGTCTCTACTCCTGGCTATGAGGGGTTCTGGGATTTTAGCTTTGAGTGGAGTGTGTGGAGTATCTCAAGGAAGTTGATTATAAAAGAAATGATTTTTAGAGTCGGATCATCTTGTCATAACGGGAAATGAATATTATACGGTTGTGGTACAGTGGATTGATTGGGGATGTTATCGTTGTTGTATGAGCTGAGATTGCTTTGAACGCACTCCCAGTATCTATGGCATGTCGCTGGCATTTGATGTAGAATAACTTTCTGTTCAAATAAAGGGACATTTTTACCTTATTAAGTTAAGTTTTCCAATGCTATTTTACAAATGGGAAATTAGTGGTAAGCGCTATAGTTGGCGCCGTCTGAACGCCGTCCGGTGCGCTTGGACAAATCGAAACAATTCCGGCGCTAGATATGCAGGTGTTTGACGCCTATTTCTGAGACACTAAGTATGGCCCTACAGCAGCGACTAAGGGGACTCATAACCGGCCTCGGACACTAGATCGCTCAAATATCGTGATCTCTCTCCATCGTAAGCGAGATGGCGTCCCACGCACGAATCAATGACCCGCCGCACGCGTTCATGCTCAAATAGCAATTTTATGCGTAGCTCCTCGGCCTCTTCTGCAGACATTGGCCAGTCTTTCACTTGATCCATTACAGACCACACCAACTTCAGAGGTAAGCGTTGATCGAGCCGAGCTGCCTGTCGGGCTGCAGCAGCCCACCACTCATGTTGCTGCGGAGGAACATTCTCCGTCGAACAGATGCGATAATGTGGATCGACGAGCCGAAGTTTGATCAGGGTTACGTTCCCCGGCTGTCTGGGGTCCACTAAGCGGAAGGACTCCAGCTTCGATCGATAGGTATTGGGCCAGCTGAGAAGACGGCCCTCTGTGAGCGGGACCGACCCAAAAGTGTGCAGTGCCCAAGGGGCCTCCTCCTCGTACCGCTCCGGGAAATTTACATCATAAACTGCGACAAGTGCTTTAGGCACCTGACACTGGAGCTCTGAGGCGTGGATTTTGTCTTTGTGCTCAAAGGCCAAGCGGACTTGGGTGAGATTCTTGCACTCCACAACATACAGACTGGTGGCTGCTATCCGGTCGTTGCGGAGCCCCTCGGTGTGGAAATGCCTCTCTCCGTTATAGATGGGATTGTCGGGGTGTATTTCGATGCGGGTAATTTCCACTACAACCTGAAAACCCTTATCTTGAAACTGTTTCTCTAATTGAATAGGCTTGCGGTCATGGTGTAGCGGATCCGGGTACTTGCTAACTCGCTGCGCGTGGATTGCACGACCTGTAAATTCACCCTGCTTCCACTGCTCATACGAATACGAGACACCGGGTTCTGGGTGATTGAACCAAGCTCGACGAGTGCGTTTGAATTCAGCGACCCGATAAACGTGGGTAGGAACATCCCATTGATCGGGAGTGAGCAGATCCATCAAATTGGCGGGCTTGTCAGGCAAGGGCTCCACCTGCTTCCATTTGGGTGGTTCAGGGCCTTCAATGTACTCACGAGCTGTGTTGCGCAATATTTCCCACTCTTCGTAGGTGTCACACTGTAGCTGCCAGCGGGGCCCGTAATGCAGAGCATCGAACAATTTGTGCTCTTCTTTATAGTTATGAATCTCGCATCCATATGTCAAGATACGTGGTGGACGACAGCCACGGGTATTGCCGTAAAATAAGATCTCATTCCAGGAAGGAACGGAGCTTGCTATGAGGCGTTCAAGACATCTATACAGTTTCTGGTGCCTGCCAGGGTGAATATTATTGACGTATGAATTGATACGAACATCCAGGGGGTCAGTGTTATTGAACTTCACCTCACAAGGAAGCCATTGGAAGCGGTTCGACCAGCAGCTCTCCGGTCCTCCCTGACCAGGCCTGCGATCCAAATGATGGGGCCGGTCTTGGGGAAGACCCAAGGGATGAGGAGGTAGCTCTCCAGCGGGTTCTTCGGCCGAACCCCAGAGATAAAGGTCAAGGGAGGTCCGTCCCCCATGAACCAGGACTCGAGACTGATTGTAGACGAGGGGATACAAAAATGGATCCACTAAGCGATTATATTGAATGTAGGGTCTGGGCTTCGGGTGTGGGGCCACCAGTCGGTCTATCTCCGCTTGGACCCCTTCTTTAAAAGACAGGGACAGTGACCCTTGATCTGACAGACACACATCGGCATGACACACAGCCGAGGAACTGTCAAAGACCAGGAGGCGGCCTGTTTCTCGCCACGTCCCTGCTTTATCGCGCAGTTCCGCCAGGCACCATTCCCATGCAGCGGTGCTGATCAAGTGACCGTCCGGTCCTTCTGTGGCCTCGCGGTACCATTGCGCGACCTGCATCTCATCTGGATCCAGTATGGCAGAATCCCATCCAGGTTTCTCCGTGACCTGTTGCATGAGACGAAGCATGGCCATCTCCCGCTTGGTCAACCGAGGTGTGTGGCGGTAGTCCAACAACCCATGCGCAAAGCGAGCCTCTGGCGGGAGCTGAAAATCCAAGGGAATGGAACCGAACCCAGGCACTTGAAGCGATCCCGCCCCGTCATTGGTAAGAGTCGCCATTACTGAAGGGTTCTTGGCTGGGAAAATCAGTGCGCTGTGGTCTCGCTCGCAGGAGACATGAGCCCTGTGGCCCTGGTCTAAATAGTGTCAATTTCTTCATAACCCACTAGTGAGTAACAAGTTAGCCTTGGATACCTAAGCCTTGTGCTTGCTCTTTCCCCTTTTCGGATCCATCTCCGACTCCCTAGGACACACTAGGTTAATTAATATAGACAACAGACAAATCAGGCGATGTGGAATGTGCAATGCCTGCGAGTGAGGTCACTATCCCGGTTCAGCGTGTGTGGATAACGTGAACAGGGTAGCCAGCTAACATCTCAGCCGGTCCTTCTCGGTTCAAACGAGTAAGGATAATATCAAGGACTGAGGTCAGGGATGATCGATTCCGGGATTACCAGTGCACTATGTTCAGATATAAATGTGCCACAGCTTGTTCAATATCTGACACTAGGGCAGCTCCAAAAGTATCACATTTTGGGATGTTTCCAGAGTAAATAAGATTACCAGTTGGGTTGTTAGACTTCATGAGGAATTTTCTAAATAGTTTCTCTAAAGGTATACTAGTCTTTTGTCACGTGTTTGTGCTACTAATCAATGGTGAGGGTCTCTCTACGTCTTGACTGGTCGATTTCCCCCTCCTTATTAGCTGTTCACCACAAACTCAACATAAACAAAACGCCGACTTCCCCCTGCTTACACTTCCCCCTGTGCCATAAATCTGTATCCATAAAATCTTGATATACCTCAGAATACAAGTAGCCAAACATGTCAAATAAAACAGCCTTTGAGACCATCCGCCTACCAACCGTCCCGGAGATCGAGGCTGCAACAGAGCGCCTAAGCATGTCCGATGCATACGACCAAGTCTTCCGCGTGGGGGAGCGCTTCGCAGTAAAATCAGGCTATGGCGTACCTCTCATCGAGGCTGAAACTATGAAGTTTCTCGAAGACAACCAAGTACCAGTTCCAAAAGTCCATGCAGCCTGCAAGGACCCAGACTCAAAGAAAACCTATATCATCATGGACCATGTCCCTGGCGATACCCTTGAAGTACTCCTGCCATCTCTGAATCCGAGCGAAAAAGCCACGATATGCAAGTTAATCAAGGACGCAATCACAAAGCTACGGAGTATACCATCCCCTGGGTACTTCGGTATGGTGAACCGCCAACCCTACCTTGATGGAGTATTCTGGACTTCGAAGTATGACCCCAAGGTCTCTGGGCCCTTCACAAGCCAAGAGGCCTTCAATTCCGCCATCATCGAAAGACTCCGCCAGATAGAATCAGAACAGTACATTCGCTTATTGCGACCTATGATTGAACGCACACTGACCGGTCACTGACCGGTTTTCACTCACGGTGACCTTCAGCCGAAGAATATTATGGTCGAGAGGCTCGGAGCTCGTGATGGATGTCCGGAATTTAAGATTATTTTACTGGATTGGGAGGGTGCTGGGTGGTTCCCCGAATACTGGGAATTTTGCAATGCGACGATCGCCTGCAGGTTTAAACCTGCTTGGCTTGACCTTGTGCCTGATATATTGGAGCAGTATTCGTTGGAGTTTCTTATGATGCAGGTGGTGTATGCTGCGGTGTTTTACTAGTGGGAAGGGCTGGGGCAGACAAGCTTGCTGGATTTAGGATATGATGACACTAATGATGCGTAGGGCTGTAGTATATATTAGGGAGGACTGAGGATTTAAAGTAAGCTAAGTCAATGTTCACGACAAGAGGTGACAACTGATCGTAGATAAAGGAGTGTAGTATATTGATCTAGACACACAGTTTGAGTTCGAGTTTACCTGCAAGTTTATGTACAGTGCAGTGCTTATCTCTTGCCTGTGGCATGCGGTTACTTCTGAGTTACTCGCTCGGAGAATAACTGCGCTCTCAGCGACACTGCAGTACCAGATTCCTTTGAATGTTTCGAGATCACTTCAGAACCAGAAGCAAATCTTAAGATGAGTTAATCTTTAGGGGTTAGGTCTGAATTGCCACGCAATTTACCGACTACTGAATGGCACTGCATGGGCAGCTACATCTTCAATATAGCTCTAAATGCACCATGTGATAAGACTACTGTACTCTAGATACAAGTTGGTCATAGACAGGACTCACACGCTCCAATCGATGCATCCCATCAAATCACACACGTCTCGCTAAGAATGTGTCTTGGCGTGGTTCTCCAGTATTCTCATTACCTCTTGCTTATCATCAGCCATTTGGTATTCAGATCTCCATCTCCAAGGGAAGGAAAACACGTTATCCCAATCTGACGGTACCTCCGAAGACCATAATCTAAGCAAACTTGCCTCGACGGGGATCTCGGGACTGATATCATTTAATGGAAAGTCCACAACGGCTCCAGCGTTGAGTAGAGCCTTCACACATTCAACCTGCCCCCAGTATGAAGCTGCACTCAATGCGGTTTTATGCTTTCCAGTTACCAAAGCCTGGTTGACATCAGCCCCCTTTTCAATGAGAAACATAACAATCTCAACGCTTCCTGCTGCGGCTGCTGCCGCAAGCGCACTTCCCAGTGATCCAGTCACGAGTTGAAGATGGACACTTGCACCCTTGTCGATCAGAAGTCGGACGCTGTCAAATTCCGCTTTATATGCTGCAGCGGCCAGGGCACTTCCGAAGAATCCCGAGAGAGCCCCATCAATTGTTGCTCCTTTGCTGATAAGGTACTCCACGATTTCTACATCTCCTGCCCAGGCGGCACCGGCAAGTTCACTTCCCACGAGCCCATTCTCGAGAGGCAGATCCACCATCGCGCCTCTATCTACCAAAAGCCGGATCACATCGAAATGGCCTTCAAATGCGGCTATAGCAAGGACACTTCCGTACGGGCCCGTGAGTGGCATATTGATATCCGCTCCATTTTGAACTAGGAAGTGAACAGCATTAAGCTCTCCATAATATGCAGCGGCTGCAAGGGCGCTTCCATAACTTCCTGACACCAAATTGACGTTTGCACCCTTGTCCAGCAGAAACCTGGCAGCCTCAAGCTCACCACCAGCCGCAGCAGCGGCAAGAGGGCATCCAATGGACCCTCCGGGTAAATTGATTATCGCTCCATTCGCAATTAGAAGTTGCATTAGTTCAAGCCTACCGGTGTATGCTACAGCTGCGAGAGGACTTCCCCACTTGTCTTCCCCGAGTTAATTGACATCCGCCCCTTTGTTCAGTAGTAGCCGGACCGCTTCAATTGTCTCACAGCAGGCAGCAGCAACAAGAGGGGTTCTATGGTATTCCCCAAGCTGGTTGATATCAGCACCTTCGTCAAGCAGAAACTGAATGGCTTCAAGACTACCTCGAGAAGCTGCAGCCCCCAGCGGGGTTTCACCGGATTCTCCATGGAGATTGATCCCTACCCCTGCCCCTCTCTTTACTAATAGTCGTGCTATATCAAGGTGGTCATGAGACACGGCAGCTGTCAGAGCAGTTCCGTGGTAGCGATTAACGTGATTAACAGAGGCTTTGTTTTGTACCAGGATCTCCACAATATCCCTATGACCTTCTTTTGCCGCCAAATATAGAGCATTGCCCCCATCACACTCATAATCAATAGGTGCACCATTTTCCACAAGCCTCTGACAAATCGGAAGATGATTAGTCTTCACCGCTAAAATCAGGAGACTTTCATCTTTCGAATTCTTTAGAGAGTTATACAGTGCCCCAGCACTTTCCCACCAATCAAGAAGTATTGCATCGAGCCCAAATGAGCACATAGCAAGTATTGGAAGAGTCGGTGGGGAGAGGTCTCCTGCGATCACCCTGTAGGTTCTCAGAAACCTGTCCTCATCTATCAATTCGTACAATCTCGGATAATAGCCAAATCTGCCGTCCATCACAACGTCATGGTACCACCTTTGATAGAAAGGTCCGCTTTGTGTTGGTGAATCCAGAAATCTTTTGAGCAACGAGATAAGCCCATTATCAAAGTCTTCCGGATTTGACACCATGGTCTCATAGCGTTGAGCATGGTGCATCCAATGATACCGACAATACATATGGAAGTGGTTCGTGAGGTGTGTACTAGAATCATCAGCGGCTACAAGTGCCCTGGCTGTTCTTTCGGTGGTGTAGGTTGTACCCTCTTCCTCTTCACCATGCGCGACCATAGGACACTGCAGGCAAGCCTTGGAAGCATAACAGTCCGCCGCTCGCGTGTCCCACAATTCCTTCTCGATGGATTCCACTACAGAAGCATGTGGAAATCTCAGATAGCCTGTGGACTCGTCGATTACAAGCAAATTTTGACAAAGACCTAGTAGCCTTTCGATGCTAATCTCTTCTTCTGGCGCATTGCGATCTCCGAGAAATCGAACAGCTGTCACAATGTACTCTGGGCTCACAGGCGAGTATGAACACATCACCCACTTGAAAGCACAATCCACGAGCTGTTTCTGGGATTGCACTCTGGATATCCGGTCATAAATTTCGTTATAAGCATCTGATAGCTCCTTCGGCATTATTGCAAGGCGTTCGCGAACAGCACTGTCAATATCACAGTCCTTGAGTTGTTCAATTTGCAAATTCACCCACTGGAACCTGTTTCATGGATCAGTATTTGCCCGTCCGAGGAGGCACGGTTAGCTTGGATACAAGAGCGAAGCTTACATTCCGTTGCTTTTCTCTGTGAGTATATCGATCGTCTCTGTTTGAACTTCCTTTGAGATACTCGTCCACGGATTATCCCAAAGGCAGGTGATCCTGTTTCTTATGAAGCTTTTGATATCCTTTTGGACGCCCGGATTTTCGGTAGCAATAACGGGAAATTTTTCAAAGCAGGCCATAATATCAGGCTCCGGACGAGCAGAAACAAATACCCTAATTGAATGCCCCGATTGAGTCGAAAAGAAATTAATGATCTCCTTGAAAAGCTCATGCCTTGACCCCTTGTCACATTCATCAAGAGCATCAAGAACAACCGTGATTTCGGCTATACCATTTCACTGACCGATGCAGGTACTCTATGCAGGTCCCGATATCTAGTTTGGTCATCTGATTTTCCATCTTGGCAAAGAGACTGAAGATCTTTGTGAATCTTTCTATTAGGGAACTCTTTTTCGGGTGAGCATGCTAATTGGCGCAAAAGGCTCCTGATCACATCATCTGATATCTGAAAGCTCTGTCCTCTACGTTCACAGTAGTAAAATGCCAGTCCCTCAGTAGGCTCTTGGGTTTCCAAAAGATGATCAATGACCATAGACGTCAAAACGCTTTTCCCAGTGCCAACTGTGGTTATAGTCAATTCAATCGAATCCCCTTCTCATCTTCCCTTCGAAATGGAAGACTTACTGGATCCTTGCAACCAGATAACCTCTGGTGAAATGCTCCGCTCCCAAATTTCGAAGATTGGATCATGAAGAATCCACCGGCATGTATCGGCCGCTCGGTCTTTCTTCTTGGGATTATGGCGGTCAAATGGCTTGTTTGGTGAAACCCAGTTGAGAATAGCTGACACTCGTTGTTCATCCATTCGCTCAAAGAGGGTATCGAAGCTTTCCACGACGAATGAATCCAATCCACGGAACTTCTCCAGTGCTTTGAGAATATCATTGACATTTTCACTCATTCGGCCGGTTACCTCATTCTGACAATATTGGACAATTTCAAGCAGCTCGGAATAACGCGACTTCAGATCTGTAACTTGGTTCTGCCCTGCCTGGGGGCTCAAAATGGCTTCAATCAGGTGAGAGGCAGTATGCTTTCTGAATCGCTTGGAAGCGAAGATGAGAAGCTTCAATGCTGCAACATAGAGTTTGACGAGAGCGGACCGGAGCATTTCCCATCGCTCGAGGACCACCTTCCCTCGATAGATCTCCTCGTATGCGCTTCCGCAGCTAATATTCCGGATGAGGATATCTGCTGTCAAGGCTGCAACTGCGGTTTCTGCGTCTGCGTTGGTCGGCACCTAAATACATCAGCCAAGGTTCACTGCCTGACAAATCTTGTCTGAAACATACCTGCAGAATACCTTTAACCAAGGGCCAGACTATGCTCGCGGGCTGGGGCAGAAATTGTAACGCCGATGTCCCCAACTGTGGTTAGACAATCAATAATACTCCCTGTGTACTCCCGAGGGACGATCGTGGGGCCACGGATCTTGAATTTGTAGGTTCGATCATTCCATTGCTTCTGCCTTTCCCGAGTCATCTCGATTATTGTCCGAAAATCTGTACCAGTAAAGGTAGATGATGTTGGCTCCTCAGTTGACCAGATCTCAGCCGGTGTCACCATGAGCTCTTTGAGCTGTCCTTGCTCCTCTTCTGACATGGCCTCAAAGCTCTTTTGCCACAGGTCTTCAGGAGATTTATCGGCGGGGACCGGGGGCGGAAGTGATTCCTCTTTCTCGTAAGACGCGTCGTTTGCCCCCGCGTCCTTCTTCGCCGTCAGTGGAAGGCTGTCAGAGTCATTGGGGTTGGTCTTCTTGTCATCATCATTTGACAGAGACTCGGAGGTAAGTCTCGGAATCTGGGGACTTGACGAAAACTTGCAAGGTCTCGGTACGGGATGGGCATTAGGGAAGGTGGCTGGCGCGGTAGCAGAGGAAGAAGGTCCTCCAGTAGGACTGTCCTTCACTCCTTTCGCTCTCGACCTTCCCCTTTTCAACGTAAAAATCTTGAAACAGTTTAAGAGTCCCATGGGAGGAAGGGTCATGTAGCGTGACGGCTTGTTTGGCAAGGAGACTCAGCTGGCTAAGATCGTTTGGCTCAAATCACGTAGACCATAGCGAAGCGAAAAGAACGCAGATTGAAAGGAAAAGAAGGAGTCTTGCCTGCTAATTAGTGTTAGCCAGGTCGCAGGCGAGCTCAGCTCATGCAGGCCCAAAGATCCAATCAGAATGACAAGGCGAGAGGTTTGCAGCTGCGGAGCCATCCATGGCGCTAAATGTTTGTTGGCCAAAACTTGGGGTTGACAAGAGACAGGAGTTGTCAAATCGTCCTCGAACAAGCTATTAATCCAGTTCAGCCAACGCAACCCTTTTCATGATGTCCAGTGTATATGTCCAAATTCGCTGCGCGGAGTACCCAGAACACATAAGGGAAAAAAGGGCAAAGTGCCAGTATCTAGTAGGCATCGTCGTGTCCAGCCCCACTCCCCGGGGGATCATCCGCCCGTAGTTTGTGCCCGATCGCGGATCTGTGCTCCAGAGGGGTGCGAACAGCTGTCACTCAAGGAACGAGAGCCAAATTCCACTCCTGTGCAATCTATAAAGATAGGTTAGAACAATTCGGACATATTTCTCGACTTGCCTACTCATCACCTTTGGCCAAGCAATTCACGGTTCAATAAAACGCTATACATCACATGGCCAGATGAACTACACCTCCTCATGCTAACATCAGATAAGGAGCACTTTCAACTGCTGAATGAAGATGACAGCCTTGTCTTCCAAAGCCTATGGTCGCGGGCCGTCGCTCACTTATGCCCACGTGTACCATATCTCGCAAGTAGCCTGATTTATAGGTGTTTTTCCTTCGCCACTATTCCTTCGCGAAGAACCTCGGAGATTGTAGGAACAGCAGAGCTTAGAGGCTTTGAGTTGGTAAGGTTTGATCAATCTCAGATTGCCACTCTCACCTTAGTCAAATAATAACCGAGATGGAGGCCGATACAGACATGTAGGCTCCATTCTCAATCTGACCCAATTCCGACTCATTTAGGGAGAAATCGCGAATCTTTTGCGAAGTCTGGGTCCTCGCGGAGGTCATTCTTTCTCTCCATTACTCACTGTTTTGATACCTTGCCTTCAAGTCGATGCCGGCTTTCCAGAGGCACCAGTAGCAACTGGTGAATTCTGGGCATGTAACAGAGGACTTATCTCAGCCGATAAGACGAGTCTTAGTATTGATGCAGGAATCTCGAAGATCTCGGCCCCAGGTCAAGATGAGGAACTACCCCAATATCCGCAATGCCCGAAGCCTCAAGCAACCCGGCAAAGTATTTCAAAAAGTAGCATAACATGCAAAGTGGATTGTGCCGTGAGTGAAGCTGTCGCATCACCAGCTCCTCGGATTCGTCGTAAATGCCTTACCATCTCTGTTAACCATGGGCAGCCACCAAATGAAGTGTTTAGCGTCCCGGCGAAAGGCAGAAGGGCTTGTCGGGAACGCAGGGCATGAAATCTTAGATTATGCGGCAGCTTCCAGTAGAGCCATCGGGATATGTCTAAATGTTCGAGCCACCGTGCTCAAGACCCACGCGTCTGTCATCACGCGGCAGTAAACGACATGTGACATGTTAATCTCTCGGACGGGGCGCGAGGAGTGACATACGGCCTTTTCCCAGCTATGGCCAAGGCGCGAGTTTTGCGAATCAAGGGAAGATCAAAGATAACCGAGGAAATAGTATACAGTCTGTTTAGAGCCTTAGTTTGAATCTGCAGCTACTTCAAGGAGGTTGGGGAAGGGCAGCGCTTCTATTAAGGGACGCTGCCACCTTGCCGCTTTATGTAGAATATCGGACATTAGGCAGGGAGTCTGGAGATTGAATCACAGTGTGCGCACTTAAATCAAACGAACTTGGAGAACGCACAATAACGTGCCTTGACATTGACTCTCCATGTGCTTGATCCGAATGCTGCAGGACACAAATAGAATGCAAAATGGGCCTCATAGTCACAAGTCGAGAGCAAATGCTAGCATCATAATAATCCGTATTTCATATATCCACAGAAGCGGAGGTAAGTATGTGTCCTGGAAATTCCGATAGGGCTGAGACATGGATTTAAGGTGAATGGAAGATACTATGTTAAAGCGGTGTGCAAATATATATAATGATATGTCTTCATTTTCTCCGTGCTCAATGCAATTGTGGACCACACAAAATATGTATGGTACCTCATTTTAGTTTGGATAGAATATCACATAATGAGAGAATGAATGAGACGACATTGAATATTCTACATGGTAGATAGATGGTTAGGTTGTCAACTTGTTCATTAATGCAAGGAACCCGTCCAGAAACGCCAATAATGCGGGAACGGAATAGCCACATGATGCGGGGATTTTAAGGTAAAATAAAACAAGGAGCTCGAGTAGATATTGCATACAGTCTACAGAGTATACAGCGGAAAAAGAAGGTTCAACGCAGTAGCTGTAAGATGCTAAATTCTATGTTCCAGAAGGTACTCAACCAACGGCATCCCACCGAAAGGCCGAAAAAAGTACACTTTCCGATAACGGGTTGGCATTGAGTTTCCTGAAAGCGCCAATCGGGCCGATGATTGGAGGGAAGTGAAGCCAGGCATCGGACCGGATCCAGAACCAAAAGCCAAGGCAGAGAAACCGGGTAGGATACTAGCGCTCACCGCCTGCAGTGGCCACAGGCTGCAAGCGTGGTCGATCCGTGTGGCGAACTTTCCCCCAAAGAACCAATTGACTGTGACGGAGATGGGCCATCTCGGCATTTTTTTTTTGGGCTGGTGGCACTAACAGGCAGGAAGGTCTGTGTGTGCGGCAGAACCGCTCTCTGCAACCCCCTCCACCGAACTGCAATCCTAATACGAGACTAACCTAGAAAAGAGCTTTCTGCTTGCGATGACCTCACTCGGTTACACATTGGTGGCTGTTGTCCCGTCTAATCCTCGTCAGGGGATGTACTCCGTATTAAGAATGAGTTGTAAGATGGGGATGAATTCCATACTGATCAAAATCAGTCCCTCAATTTGAAATACCAGTAGTAGATTAGATGTCAAGGAAAAATGCCATTCACGCTGTGACGGATGAGTCAAAGCAGCAATTGGAACTCGGGGAAGGGAAGGGGAGGGGAGGAGGGGGGATGGAACTTGACTGGCTCCGGATTGCGGACAGGAATTGCTTAGACTCCATAATTAGCAATGGAAAGAAAGCAAACGAAGGCTCCCAGTGCTCAACCCCCTCAAAATCCCCAAAAAACGTCGAGAAAAATTTTCTTCGGAGGCGGTCAGGGCCAGCAGAAAGGCCCATGATCCCCGGATCGGTGAGTTCAACAGCCCAATGAGAGAGCTCCATCAAGCCCGCCGTACACAAAATTTTATTCTTGAGAATTCTTCTTTCTCCTCCTCTCCTCTCTCTTTCCTATATTCTTCCTCCTCCCGTGCAGAAGCAGCAGAATCACTCTACTCCCTCCCCTCTTGCATCTTTCTCAAAAGGGTCTTGGAGGCTGCTGATGCTACGGTAGAGAGAATACCCCCCAGTCATACAGTCCCCGAGAGGACCTTTTTCCCCTCCCCCCACACATACAGTCACTACCCAGAATGCCGCAGTCCGCTGGTCACGAGGAGGCTGCCCTCCCCTCCTCCCCTCTCTCTGGAGGCGCTGTGGCCTACAACCAGATCAACAAGGAATTGCAGCCGCTTCCCCCGATGGAAGCTCACAATGGGGCCGTGATCCCTCCCGCTTCGGCTCCCTACCGGGGCAGCAATGGGAGGATGGTCGCTGTCGAGCTTGAGGACGGCACCGTCTACCAGGGCTACAGCTTTGGTGCCGAGAAGAGTATCGCCGGTGAATTGGTCTTCCAAACCGGTATGGTGGGATACCCAGAGTCCATCACGGATCCCTCGTATCGGGGCCAAATCCTCGTCGTTACCTTCCCCCTCGTCGGTAACTATGGTGTCCCCTCCCGGGAGACCATGGATGAGTTGTTGAAGACTCTTCCCAAGTACTTCGAGTCCACCCAGATTCACATCGCGGGTCTGGTCGTTGCTACTTACGCCGGAGAGGAATACTCCCACTTCCTTGCTCAATCCTCCCTTGGCCAGTGGCTGAAGGAGCAAGGTGTTCCTGCCGTCCATGGTGTCGATACCCGTGCTCTCACCAAGCGCATCCGTCAAAAGGGTAGCATGCTGGGTCGTCTGCTGCTCCAGAAGTCTGAGACTGTCAGCGACGCCACTGTTATCCCCACGGAGAAGGACAGCTGGAAGCCTTTCTTTGAACAGATCGAATGGGTTGACCCCAACAAGAAGAACCTGGTCGCCGAAGGTAGGCACCCGACTCACAACTCAGGCGAGAATGATCATTTCTGACTTGTATATGACAGTGTCGATCAAGGAACCCAAGCTTTTCTCGCCTCCCGAGAATGTCGCCCTCAAACACCCCTCCGGTCGCCCGGTGCGTGTCCTCTGCTTGGACGTGGGTCTGAAGTTCAACCAGCTGCGCTGTTTGCTTGCCCGTGGTGTTGAGGTTCTCGTCGTTCCCTGGGATTATGACTTCCCTACTCTTGCTGGAAAGGACTATGACGGTCTGTTCGTCTCGAACGGTCCCGGTGACCCGGCTACTCTTGCCACCACCGTCAACAACCTCAGCAAGACCTTGAAGGAGGCCCGGACTCCCGTCTTCGGTATTTGCTTGGGTCACCAGCTGATCGCTCGCTCCGTCGGCGCCCAGACTCTGAAGATGAAGTTCGGTAACCGTGGTCACAACATTCCCTGCACTAGCATGCTCAGCGGAAAGTGCCACATCACTTCCCAGAACCACGGTTATGCCGTGGACTCCAACAGCCTCCCCGAGGGATGGGAGGAGCTCTTCGTTAACGCCAACGACGGTAGCAACGAGGGTATCCGTCACGTCAGCCGGCCCTTCTTCAGTGTCCAGTTCCACCCTGAAAGCACTCCTGGTCCCAGAGATACCGAATACCTGTTCGACGTCTTCATCAACAGCATCAAGGACACCATGGCTTCCTCGGAAGCTCTTCAGAAACCTGTCTCTTTCCCTGGTGGCGCCAAGGAGGAGAACATCAGAATCGCTCCTCGCGTTTCCGTGAAGAAGGTCCTGATCTTGGGTAGTGGTGGTCTGAGCATTGGCCAGGCTGGTGAGTTTGACTACTCCGGTAGTCAGGCCATCAAGGCTTTGAAGGAGGAAGGCATCTACACCGTCTTGATCAACCCCAACATTGCCACTATCCAGACCTCCAAGGGTCTGGCTGACAAGGTCTACTTCCTCCCTGTGAACGCCGACTTTGTTCGCAAGGTGATCAAGCACGAGCGCCCTGATGCCATCTACTGTACCTTCGGTGGCCAGACCGCTCTGCAGGTCGGTATTCAGCTCAAGGATGAGTTCGAGTCCCTCGGTGTCAAGGTCCTCGGTACCCCTATTGATACTATCATCACCACCGAAGATCGTGAGCTGTTTGCTCGCAGCATGGACTCCATCAATGAGAAGTGTGCCAAGTCCGCATCTGCCTCCAACTTGGAAGAGGCCATGGGAGTCGTTGAAAGCATCGGCTTCCCCGTTATCGTCCGTGCTGCCTATGCCCTTGGAGGTCTTGGCAGTGGTTTCGCCGATAACATGGATGAGCTGAGGGAGCTCTGCCTCAAGGCTTTCGCTGCCAGTCCTCAGGTGCTGATTGAGCGCAGTATGAAGGGATGGAAGGAAATCGAGTACGAAGTCGTCCGTGATGCCAGGGACAACTGCATCACTGTCTGTAACATGGAGAACTTCGACCCTCTCGGTATCCATACCGGTGACTCTATCGTTGTTGCTCCTTCCCAGACTCTTTCTGACGAAGACTACAACATGCTGCGTACAACTGCCGTCAACGTCATTCGCCACCTTGGTGTTGTCGGAGAGTGTAACATTCAGTATGCGCTGAACCCCTTCTCCAAGGAGTACTGCATCATCGAAGTCAATGCTCGTTTGTCCAGATCCTCTGCTCTTGCTTCCAAGGCCACTGGTTACCCTCTTGCCTTCATCGCTGCCAAGCTTGGTCTGGGTATCCCCTTGAACGAGATCAAGAACTCGGTCACCAAGGTCACTTGCGCTTGCTTCGAGCCTTCCCTTGACTACTGTGTCGTGAAGATTCCCCGTTGGGATCTCAAGAAGTTCACCCGTGTCTCCACCCAGCTCGGTTCTTCCATGAAGAGTGTTGGTGAGGTCATGGCTATCGGACGTACTTTCGAGGAAGCTATTCAGAAGGCTATCCGCTCCGTCGACTTCCACAACCTTGGATTCAACGAGACCAATGCCCTCATGTCGATCAAGGGCGAACTGCAGACTCCCTCTGACCAGCGTCTGTTTGCCATTGCCAACGCCATGGCTACTGGCTACAGCGTCGATGATATCTGGAAGCTTACCCAGATCGACAAGTGGTTCCTGAGCAGACTTAAGGGTCTTAGCGACTTCAGCAAGCTCATGACCCAATACAATGCCACCAGTGTGCCCAGGCCCCTTGTCCGCCAGGCCAAGCAGCTTGGTTTCTCGGATCGTCAGCTTGCCAAGTTCCTCAGCTCCAACGAGCTGGCTATCAGACGTCTGCGTGTCGAGTCTGGTATCATCCCTATCGTGAAGCAGATTGATACGGTTGCTGCTGAGTTCCCCTCGGTCACCAACTACTTGTACCTCACATACAACGCCTCTGAGCACGATGTCAACTTTGAGGACAAGGGTATCATGGTTCTCGGATCTGGTGTTTACCGTATTGGTTCATCTGTCGAGTTCGATTGGTGTTCCGTGCGGGCTATCCGTACCCTTCGTGAACAGGGCCACAAGACGGTCATGGTCAACTACAACCCGGAGACTGTCAGTACCGACTATGATGAGGCTGACCGGTTGTACTTCGAGAACATCAACTTGGAGACCGTCCTTGACATCTACCAGTTGGAGTCCTCCAGCGGTGTGATTATTTCCATGGGTGGTCAGACTCCCAACAACATTGCTCTGCCCCTGCACCGCTTGAACGTTCGCATCCTTGGTACCTCTCCCGAGATGATCGATGGTGCTGAGAACCGTTACAAGTTCTCCCGCATGCTTGACCGTATCGGAGTTGACCAGCCGGCTTGGAAGGAGCTTACTAGCACTGAGGAGGCTACCGAATTCTGTAACAAGGTTGGCTACCCTGTGCTTGTCAGACCTTCTTACGTGCTTTCCGGAGCTGCCATGAACACTGTCTACTCTGAGGACGACTTGGCCAGCTACCTCAACCAGGCTGCTGAGGTCTCCCGTGAGCACCCTGTGGTTATTACCAAGTACATTGAGAACGCCAAGGAGATTGAGATGGATGCTGTGGCTCGCAACGGTGTCATGGTTGGACACTTCATCTCTGAACACGTTGAGAACGCCGGTGTCCACTCTGGTGATGCCACCTTGATCCTGCCCCCGCAGGACCTGGATCCCGAGACCGTTCGCCGCATTGAGGAGGCTACCCGGAAGATCGGAAACGCTCTGAACGTCACTGGTCCTTACAACATCCAGTTCATCGCCAAGGACAACGATATCAAGGTCATCGAGTGTAACGTCAGAGCTTCTCGCTCTTTCCCCTTCGTCTCGAAGGTTATGGGCGTTGATCTCATTGAGATGGCTACTAAGGCGATGATCGGCGCTCCCTTCGCTGAATATCCTCCTGTTTCCATCCCTAAGGACTACGTCGGTGTGAAGGTGCCCCAGTTCTCCTTCTCTCGTCTCTCGGGTGCCGATCCCGTCCTGGGTGTCGAGATGGCCTCCACTGGAGAAGTCGCATCTTTCGGTCGTGACAAGTACGAAGCCTACCTCAAGGCCTTGATCTCCACCGGTTTCCGCCTTCCCAAGCGTAACGTGCTGTTCTCTATCGGTTCCTACAAGGAGAAGATGGAGATGCTGCCCTCGATCCGCAAGCTGCACCAGATTGGGTTCAACCTCTTCGCCACCTCCGGTACTGCTGATTTCCTGAAGGAGAACGGCGTCCCCGTCAAGTATCTCGAGATCCTTCCGGGAGAGGAGGAGGACATTAAGTCCGAGTACTCGCTCACTCAGCACTTGGCCAACAACCTGATTGACTTGTACATCAACTTGCCGTCCAACAACCGGTTCAGACGTCCCGCCAACTACATGAGTAAGGGTTACCGCACTCGTCGTATGGCTGTTGACTACCAGACTCCTCTGGTCACCAACGTCAAGAACGCCAAGATCCTCATTGAGGCCATTGCTCGCCACTTTGCTCTCAACGTGCAGACCATTGACTACCAGACCAGCCACCGCACTATCATCCTGCCCGGCTTGATCAATGTCGCTGCTTTCGTGCCCAACCTGATGGTTCCTGGCTCCCCTGACTTCCAGGCCATGACCAAGGCATCCATTGCCGCTGGTTTCAGCATGGTTCGCGTGATGCCCGTTGGTGTTGACGCTTCGGTCACCGATGCTCGTGCTCTGAAGATTGCCCAGCAGAATGCTGAGAAGTCCTCTTTCTGCGACTTCAACTTCTCTGTTGTGGCCACTGCTGACAACGCCGACCAGATCGGACAAGTGACGGGAGACGTGGGCTCGCTCTTCATCCCCTTCAACCACCTGTCTGGCAACATCAGCAAGGTTGCTACGGTCACCAACCACTTCGGTAACTGGCCGTCCAGCAAGCCTATCATCACCGATGCCAAGTCTACTGACCTGGCCTCCGTCTTGCTGTTGGCCAGCCTCCACAGCCGCAACATTCACGTCATGAGTGTGTCGTCCAAGGAGGACATCAGTCTCATTGCTCTCAGCAAGGAGAAGGGTCTTAAGGTGACTTGCGATGTTTCCGTCTACAGTCTGTTCCTTACGAAGGATGACTTCCCCGAGTGCAGCTCGCTGCCCTCGGTTGAGGACCAGAAGGCCTTGTGGGAGCACCTGAGCACCATCGATGTCTTCTCTGTCGGCAGCATCCCTTACCAGGTTGCTGGTGAGAAGAGCTCTCCTGTCGCCGGTATCGCCGAGACTCTGCCGCTCTTGTTCACTGCCGTCTCGGAGGGTCGCCTGACTGTTGAGGACATTGTCGCTCGTCTCTACGAGAACCCCAAGAAGATCTTCGAGCTTCACGACCAGGCCGACAGCTCCGTCGAGATCGAGGTTGACCGGCCGTACCTGTTCCAGGCACCCCAGGGTGCTTGGTCTCCTTTCAACGGCAAGAACGTTAGAGGGTCTGTGCAGCGTGTTGTTTTCCAGGGTAAGACCTCTTGCCTTGACGGTGAAATCATCTCCGATGCTTCCACTGGAACCGACATGTCCACCCACCGGATTGTGCCCGCCTCTCCTTCCGTGAAGGCCATGTCCCCTATGGTGCATGCTCGCCCCGAGAGCTCTCTCGACCGCAGACTGTCCTTCTCTGGAACTCCTCTCCGCCCCGGCCGCAAGCTTGCTGAGCAGGCCCCTGCTGTCGGAGAGCTTGGACCTCCTCTGTACACCCCCGTTCCCCAGGTGTCTTCCTCTCTTCTTGAGATGCTCTCTCGGTCCACCTTCAGACAGAAGCACGTGCTGTCCGTTAACCAGTTCACTCGGGCTGATCTGCACCTGCTCTTCACTGTAGCCCAGGAGATGCGCCTGGGAGTCCAGCGCCAGGGTGTGCTGGACATCCTGAAGGGCCGTGTTCTGTGCACTCTCTTCTATGAGCCTTCCACCCGGACTTCCGCTTCTTTCGATGCTGCCATGCAACGTCTGGGAGGCCGCACCATTGCCATCTCCACCGAGCACTCCTCGACCAAGAAGGGCGAGACCCTGCAGGATACCGTCCGCACTCTCGGCTGCTACGGAGATGCCGTTGTTCTGCGTCACCCCGATCCCAGCAGCGCCGAGACCGCGGCCAAGTTCTCTCCTGTCCCCATCCTCAACGGTGGCAACGGCAGCGTTGAGCACCCCACCCAGGCGTTCCTCGACCTCTTCACCATCCGTGAGGAGCTCGGCACCGTTACCGGCCTGACCATCACTTTCACTGGTGACCTGCGTTACGGCCGCACTGTGCACTCGCTGCTGAAGCTGCTCCAGTTCTACGATGTTCGCGTGCAGCTGGTTGCGCCCAAGGATCTTTCCCTGCCTGAGGAAGTCCGCCAGCAAGTCATTGCCTCTGGCCAGCTTGTTGTGGAGTCTGAGGAGCTGACTCCTGAGATCGTTGCCCGCTCCGATGTTCTGTACTCTACCCGTGTGCAGAAGGAGCGCTTCAGCGATCTGGCTCAGTACGAGCGTCTGAAGAACAGCTTCGTCATTGACAACGCTCTTCTGAAGCACGCCAAGAGCCACATGGTCGTGATGCACCCTCTGCCCCGTAACGCGGAGATCTCGGAGGAAGTTGACTTCGACCAGCGGGCGGCCTACTTCCGCCAGGTTAGTTTTTTCCCCGCCCCATTGACTGAACATGATGCTGATGTTGGATTACAGATGAGATATGGTCTCTACTGCCGTATGGCTCTGCTTGCGTTGATTCTGGCGCCTTAGGTCATTCCGGGGTATTGACGAGTACTACGATTTGAGGGAACCCAAAGATTTCTGTGGCGTTGTTTCACAGGTCTGAATGGCGACCTCCAAGCATCATGTGTGATTTACGTTGCGTGTTGCTTTTCTTCCTTTTTTTCCGCATTGGCTGGTGTTTTTCGAAAAGTTAAGCAGTGTTATACATATACCGCGTAGGCTGCGAGGCGATTAGAATGCCCGCATGATAGATTAGATGAATTTCCTTCCATGAACACAATCATCCCGTTATGTGTGATGTATGTGGTGTGTGTATTATGTATTGTGTGTTTTGTGTGTGTGTTTTGTGTGTGTGTTCTGTGTGTTTTGTGTGTGTGTTCTGTGTGTTGTGTGTGTCGTGTTCGTTATGTGTGTGTGTTGTGTGTGTGGTGCTTTCCGTTGTGTTTGGCGTTTTCTTTGATTTTTTTTGGCGTGTTTTCTTTTCTTTTACCTTTTTTTTCCCTTGTTTCTTTTCTTTTATCATTGGGTTTGGATGGACGGACTTTGGGATTTTGGGAATACCGGACTGGCGTTGAATTCTTCAGGACATCATGGGTGGGATGGACAACAACAACAACGACAACAAGAGATACCCCTGACGACTACTAAAAAGATACCACCGAGAAATGTTGATCATGTCTCGCAACAATATTATGATGATTATTCGATGCCATCTATTTTCCATTCATTCCAATTTCCATACCTTGTATACTTGTACTTCCAGTCTATGCTGGACAAATCTTACTTTTAAGTATTATTAGTAAGAATGAGGGTTGCTTCTGCATAGCATTTCATACTTCCTACATAAATCACTATGCAAATTATTTATGATGATATTATGCACCAAGAAACGCTGCCAAATGGTCTGAGCGACGAACCAGATATAATTTAGCATCGCAGCTCTCGACCGAGTGAGCCAAATGACGTTGAGCGGGCTGCAGATGGCGTGCTTTCTCCTCCAGAATACACCACTTCGGGCCTCTTCTCCATCAGTTAACTGTGTACCCAGAATAACTATCAACTGTTCAATACAAGATCAGCAGTCCGAATATCACTTACAGAGCAACATAAGTTCTCACCAACACTATGCAGGTCTTACTTATCATATCCAGGTAGTGGGTCTACTATCAAACAATCCATCATCACCACCAGGAACATCTACCTATTTACCCCCACCCCCAAACCTCGTAAACTTTACTGCCTCTTATGTGGATTACTCCACCAATCTCGCCATCACCGCTCCAGATTGCGCATCGGCTCGTGGATGCAAATATCCCATAGCAGGCAAAGATTAACCCTTCTGGACCCTGACAATGCCTTTCATCACGGCCGCCATGATGCCTGTCCCACGTGAAGTACCACTCCAGCAGACTCTTATATAGTCCCGTCTTGTCATGCAATATCAATCACTTGACGCTGTCTGCAACGTTCCAAGCCACTGCCAGGAACGGTAATCCATACCCCTGCTATGAGCAGCATGGCATCCACACCCGAAAAGACAATAGAGGCCGACGAAAAGGCCGCCTCTCCCAGCACAAGCAGCGTCACCAACATCGACGAAAAAGCTCTCCTTCGCAAACTAGACTTTCGTCTCCTCCCACCACTAACCATCCTATATCTCTTATCATTCCTCGATCGCAGCAATGGTATACCCCTTTCCCCTTCCTTGCCATCGATAACAATCCCCAAAATCTAACCAATACTTCAATCCTATAGTGGGAAACGCCCGACTCGAAGGCATGGCCACTGAGATCCACATGTGTATGTACCACCCACCCCTACCATATCAAATCACATAGCAATAAACCCTAACCAAACAACAGCAGGAGACCAATACCTCACCGGCCTAACCCTCTACTTCATCGGCTACGTCCTCTTCGAAGTACCCTGCAACATCGTCCTGAAGAAAACCACACCCCGGATCTGGCTCCCCACATTAACCTTAGTCTGGGGTGTTGTGGCGACGCTTCTGGGCGTGGTGCAGAACTATGCGGGATATCTAACTTCACGAACTGGTACACACATACCCCCCTCCCCGCTAAACCTACCGTATCATAACATGTACAATGCTAAAAGTGTGATAAATCAGCCCTCGGCATAGCAGAAAGTGGCCTCTTCCCCGGCGTCGTCTTCTACCTATCAATGTGGTATAAACGCAACGAGCAACACTACCGCGTAGCTCTATTTTTCAGTGCTGCTTCGTTGGCAGGCGCTTTTGGAGGGATTCTAGCATGGGTTTGTACCCCATCCCTTTCTATTCTAGCCAAGCTAATGCTGAACATAGGGCATAGCCCACATGAAAGGCGTAGGCGGATACAGCGGCTGGAGATGGATCTTCATCCTGGTACCATCCCCCATACCCCCTCCTACAGCCCTACCTCAAACCCCAACTAACAGAAAGGGTGCATAAAGGAAGGCCTCCTAACAGTCCTCATGTCCATCGGCGCCTACTTCTGGGTATACAACTACCCCTCAACAGCCGAATTCCTAACCCCCGAAGAGCGCCAATTCATCCAATCCCGTCTGAAGAACGACAACGACTCTACACGCGACGAGCAATTCACCTGGAGTGCTGTCTTCGACGCCTTCAAAGATATTAAAGTCTGGTTATACGGACTGGCCTTTCATACGATGTCGCTCCCACTCTACACTCTATCTTTATTCATGGTGAGCTAACCACAACCCACCCCCCCATCGCCTCCAACAACCCGAACATGCATAGCACTCACTAACAATCACATCTATTTAAAAATATAGCCAACAATAATCTCCGCCCTAGGCTACACATCCGCCCAAGCCCAACTCCTCACCGTCCCGCCCTACGCCGTCGCCTTCGTCCTCACCATAACCGTCGCCATTCTATCAGAGCGCACGCACCGTCGCGCGCCCTTCATTCTGGGTTCCACGGCACTAGCATGCATAGGCTATATTCTTCTACTAACTGATCACAGACCTGGGGTATCCTATCTAGGGACGTTCTTCGCTGCAGCGGGAATTTACCCCGCCGTGGCGATTGTGTTGTCGTGGCCGGCGAATAATGTCTCCGGTCAGACGAAGAGGTGTATTGCGAATGCGATGCAGATTTCCATTGGGAATTTGGGCGCTGTGTTGGGGACGCAGTTGTATCGGACAGAAACCAGTCCGAGGTATTTCCTGGGTCATGGGTTTGCGTTGGGGTATTTGGTGGCCAATTTGGTGGTTGTGGGGGTGTTGTGGGAGGTGCTGAGGAGGGAGAATAGGGTTAAGGCGGAGGTGAGGGAGAGGGAGGGAATGGAGGCGTTGATGGGGGATGTGGGTGATGCTGAGGGGGACTTTTTGGGGGATAGGGATCCGAGATGGATTTTTCAGACGTAGTTTGGGTACTGTCTAGTTACTTTGGAGGTACCGGGGTTAGGATAGTGGTATGACTCTCTTGGACGTTCAATCAAGGTGTCTGCTTCGTGTTCTCATTTTTGAAGGGTTGAGTAAGTTGATATGAATAGCCCTAACTCCCACCGCTCATGCTGCGTAGCTGGATAGATTGACACTCTTAGCAGCTATGAAGAAGAGTTACCCTAGGGACGTAAGGGCCAGCTATAGCAACCGGGTCAGTAATGCTCATTTAAGCAATAATGCTGCAAGAGGCGCACCAGAGTCGAAGTTACTCACGAATTTGAGCGCATCCGCTCGAGATCCTGATACAACAAACCCTCCGCATAACAGGGCTGCAAAATCTGCTCTATCCAAGTGTAGCAAGCCAGGAGCTTAGGGATTGGCACCGCCGAGGCATACTTTCCGAGTCAGAGGAGGTTGTTAGCTTCGTGGACGGTGACATTGGCTTCATATTTCAGCGTCACATTGGGAGCTACGCTCAGGTTTTCGATATTCTTACTCTTCGTTTGATTCCCAGTTTGCAAAGCTTATCGAAATTCGGTGCAGTATAATCAGGGCAGATATAGTAGGCCTTCCACGACTTTTGTGATTTCTTCTGGCCCGTTTCATCCTTTCCATCCGTTTCTTTATCGCCAGTCGTCTCATAGTCTACCATCTCAACGTCTGTTCTTTCTGAGTTTGCCTTGTCAACGTCTCTTTCATCCATGTTTTCCTCGCACATTACTGCATTCACCAATGCTGCTCCATACCATTTCTCTTCTTCCAATTTCCTAGCTCATACTTTAGATATGTCATTCCTACTTCTTTCATATCTAACATGACGGTGCTGAAGAAAAAGGAGATGAGGTATGTAGATTCGAGTAAGAAAATGCATGCTCATCTGGGGAGTGTTGCAGAGAACGGAAGAGATGGAGGAAGAAGCTTTGAGAGCAATGGTGCCTAATGGTATATAGAAGGTCGTACAGATCATCAATCCGTGTAGGGAGTGCGCTTCCAGGCTAGAATTTGACCTCAGCCTTGACAAACGAAATGAACTGTGATAGCATCATTCCATTATGCAAGTAGGACCAGGGTGGTGAGGAGTACAGCGCATCATGGGTGGCCGGATGGTCGAGTGGTGACCTTCTGGCAGGCACTGAAGAGATGTCTGGTAGTGCTTTCCTACCCACGTCTATATACAAAGTATAGTAGGTTCGAATCCTGCAGCTACTAATCCTACAGGGGACCACGTCGGAGGTTAGACTCTTTCTATATACGCCCAGTGCTGGGAAGGAGATATATAGGAGATTTATAGAACATAGTTCTTATTTGTGATCCTTCTTTTTACTGTCTCTATATTAAGCACGTGAAGAGTTTCTATGAGATTTTTCCTGTATTGTCGGTTTTCCCTTATAGACCCTTACAGTGCTTATATACAAGAAGGTGAAAGTATCTTCGGCTGTGGCTTTGGGGAGGGAATTATAACTCTTATGAATGTCCGCGTGATGATGTACCGTCTGTATAATAGAGAATAGATAGATATTTAAATATACGGAGCTGTTGATCTGTCTGAATAAGTCAGAAATAGACAGTAATATGGACTCTGGCATGATCGGCAATAGTTGAAATGGAGAAAT